CCCCCACCCCCACCCCGCCGCCGCTGTCCGGCCATTAGTGCCTGAGGGGGGAGGAGGAGGAGGAGGAGGAGGGAGGAAAGAGGAATAAGTCTATTAGTAATAACAACAACAAAACCCACCAACAAATCTGCACTAGCGCCTTAGTCCTCCTCTCAGACCGTCGCCTGCCTGGCATCGCCGCTCATCGGGCTGCTGTGCTGAGACTTTGTTTCAAGTAAAAAAAAAAAGAAAAAAAAAAAAAAAACCAACCAAAAAAAGAACCAAAAAAACCCTTCGCTTGCTCAGCCACTTCCATTTTTCCCCCCCTGCAGTCTCGCTGGTTTGAGGTGGTCTTTTTTTTTTTTTTTTTTTTTTCTCTCCTTTTCTTTCCCTTCATGTGGTTGGATTTGGTGGATCCGGAGCCAAAGCTGCTTTTTTTCCTCGGTGGGGTGTGTGTGTGGCGTGCGGGGTTTTTCTCGCTGCGTTTTTTATCTTCTGCTGCTTTTTTTAATCTTGGTTTTGAACCTGAGCCGGGGAAAATGGGAAACGGTGCTTCCGACAGAAGGGGAATCTCTCCATCACTGTTGTTGGGACGTGTGCCTGTGGTGCTAGTGTTTTAGAGAAATAGCCTGACAGCTTTCGGAGTGGAAGGTAAGGGTGCCCGGGGCATTTCCATTTCCCATTTCCAGGGATTACGACTGGAGAGCTTTTAGTTTGGGATTCCGGGGAGGAGGCGGCGGAGGAGGGGGACAGGCTGTTGCTGAAGGATAGAGAGAGAGACAGCACATACAAAATGATCTCCGCATTTACTTCAGTGCTGCAGTTTAAAAGTTAGAGAAGTCCGTTTTGCGACAGGTCTGCTTCCCAGAGAGTAATTTCCAGCGAGACCGAGAAGACCTGAGGTTTGTGCACGATTGGGGTAATTTTGGAGGGGGGGGGGGATGTTAGGTTAATAGGAAGTTAAAATAAGAGAAGTCAGTGGGTCTTCTTTTGGGGGGAAAAATAAGTGGAGTGATGGCGCCGTCTATGTTCGGCTAAACTACAGTGTCACCTAGAAAATCAGTTTGGGGAATATCCAAACTAAACGCCCGTTTGCTTTTCGGCAGAAGAGGGTTCTCCCCCTTCCCAAATGGGCAACCTTAAACCTCTGTGGCCGTTCTTTAACTCCCTCCTCCATGGGAAAGAAAGATCTTTTCTAATCTGAGTGCCTAATCCTTTCAGTGAGCAGATTCACTCTTGTATTTAGCAATATTGCAAACTAAACAAAATGCTGCCAGCACACTCAATTCGAGTGTGTGTGTGCATGTGTGTGTGTGTGTAATGCACACAGGGAGAGAGAGATTTAGACAATGTTGTGTTTCAGCAGCCTTGCATGAGCAAACGCACAACTAAAATGAGGGCTATTTGATTACGTTTCTTCATAGAAAACAGCCTAGCACTGCAGACGTCTTTATTTTTCTAGTGCAAATATTACATAGGATGGGAAAAGTCAGAGGCTTTTTTCCTTTTCAGACAGAAAAGCAAATAAGCCCCCTTTTTGCTCTCCAGATTATAAAATTAATCCCTTTTCATGGGTGGAATTCCTAATTTAGACACTTATTGTCACATTGGCTTTCAACGCCTACACCATCCTGAATAACACTGCGCAGAACTGCATTGCCTGCAAAGTGCTTCAGCAAAGGGGAAATTGTTTCCAGAATTCCCGATAAGTTTCTCTTTTTTAAAACCTTAAATGCTGTGCCGACCCTATTTGGAGAAGGAGGACCGTGGTATTCATTGAGATGGACGCTCAGAAAGGAGAAAATCCAACCGTGTGGATAGACCCAGCAGGAGCTCTGCTTTTTTTTTTTTTTTTTTTTTTTCTCCTAAACCTCCACTATAAAGAGGTTAGAGTTGGTGCTGCTTTGCCCATTTCAAGATTTGGAGTTTGAATTATAATCTAGGAGATACGAAAATCTCTTCAAGGGAGCTTAATCCGGTGATTTTCTGCGTGTTACGCAATGGGAGACAGAAGATGCCTTGCTGTTTGGTGAGGAGATGAAAAGCTAGGCAAAGACACACATCAAAACTCAGTACCGGTGCCTGTGTGTGTGTGTCTGCCTCTGCTTACAGAGCAACAGTGGAAGAGACTGCAATCTAGAGAGTTTTGAAATTAGCTTGGCACCACTTCTGTCTGCTTGCATTTAAGAGCAGAAGGCGAAAAGCTACTCATTTGTCAGAGATAAGCAACTTCTCAAAGGTTAATGCTGAAAACGTTCCGTTTGAATTTTTTGGATAACGTTACGGAGGTAAATATAACTAAGGTTCGCTTTATTAACCTAGGCCACTGTTAAGAGAACAGAGCATGTGGAGGCTGTAACGGTTGACAGGTGCAGTAAAACAGCTTTATTTGGAAATACTAGCCGAGAAAAATGTAATATGTCTTTCATCATTCAAGTGCACATCTGCAAAACACAGGAGCTAATCAGACAGTACAAGATACTCGTAATAAGAGGGCAAGTGCAGTCCAATAGGTGCAGAGATCCTGCTGTAGCACTGCCAGCTATATAGAGCTACTGGTTGTAGACACTAATACAGTGATCTGTTTTATATATCCTGAGAGGTTGAAGCACGTTGAAATTATTATCCTAAAAAGCTGGCACTTCGTGGTAGCGTCAGACCAGCACTAGTTTCATCTGTCTGTCTTTGTTTCTTTCTCCAATAGTCTCAAAATGTTATTAAAACATTAATCTCCGTATTTCTTGCCTGTGATTTCTTTTTATAGAGACCTCTGTATACCAGGTGGCCAGGGCAAAGGCATGTAGGCATATGGGAGATACTGTTCCATCTGCAGCAAATAATAATTTGTGCGTTTTTAAATTATGGCTGTAATTCTTCACAGTTACTTCTCAGACTTAATAGAAAGATAATATATAACAACAGACGCTGCTAGCTTTCTTGTTCTATTCCGGTGAAATTCTGCATGTGCGTGTTGTATATGCACCTATATGACTATAGCAGACTACTTATTTACTTTTCGAAGAAATGAATAAATAAGTTGCCCTTTTCTTGGTCTGCAGGGTAAGGCGTCTAGTTTTTTACCTAAGTTGAGCAGTTCTAGTCCACGCCATGATGACTACATCCTAGACAGGAGAGGACAGTCCTATTAATAATCTAATAGATGTTGTTTTTTAATTTGGCTGTGGAAGACTTGGCTGTCGCGATGGCCACGTGATGGCGCTGTGCACACAGCAGCAAACCCGTCCTTCGCGTTATAAAATAAAAATTACCTGCCCTTCTTTCTGAAAGGGGCTCTAACGGCAAGCTTGAAAACAGCTGGCTCGAATATTGGAAGGAGTTTGGTTTTCAATGCGTGAAGAATTCTACTTGCATTTTTATTTCGTTTCATCTCCTGCAGGCCAAATGACATAGGATGAAGGCTGTTCGTAATTTGCTGATTTATATATTTTCCACCTATCTACTGGTTATGTTTGGATTTAATGCTGCCCAAGACTTCTGGTGTTCCACGTTGGTGAAGGGGGTCATTTATGGATCGTATTCTGTAAGTGAAATGTTTCCTAAAAACTTCACAAACTGCACTTGGACGCTGGAAAATCCAGATCCGACCAAATATAGTATTTACCTGAAATTTTCCAAAAAGGACTTCAGCTGCTCCAACTTTTCCCTCTTGGCTTATCAGTTTGATCATTTTTCCCGTGAAAAAATAAAGGATCTTTTAAAAAATAACCATTCTATAATGCAGCTCTGCGATTCCAAGAATGCTTTTGTATTTCTGCAGTATGATAAGAATTTTATTCAGATACGCCGTGTCTATCCTATCGATTTCCCAGGATTACACAAAAAAGAAGACGACCAAAAATCCTTCTTTGAGTTTTTGGTGTTGAACAAGGTGAGCCCAAGCCAGTTTGGGTGCCATGTGTTATGCACTTGGTTGGAGAGCTGCTTGAAATCCGAGAACGGGAGAACCGAGTCCTGTGGGATCATGTATACAAAATGCACCTGCCCTCAGCATTTGGGAGAATGGGGAATAGACGACCAGTCCCTGGTGTTGCTCAATAACGTGGTGCTGCCCCTCAACGAGCAGACAGAGGGCTGCCTGACCCAGGAGCTGCAAACCACCCAGGTCTGCAACCTCACCAGAGAAGCCAAACGGCCACCAAAAGAAGGTAGGTGCTTCTTGGAGGGGGGGCTGAATCCCACAGCGGTATGTGGGTCCTACTGCCAGCTCTCCTTGATACTCACGTTCATTTGACTTGCTCTCCACTCCAGCTCTCCTCTAGATGAGGCAAAAGGGCTGGAGAAGATGCACATTCCCTCAGGGAGGGCTGCGTTTTCATTCCTAAACTTGCCTAACCTTCAGCATATAGTTCTGCTGAGCACTGGTGAAACTCCTCATAAGTAGGATCCATCTGTTTTCAGCCCCCACTTACAGTAATGCCCACAGGTGGCATGCCAGGAATCGCTCTCCCCCTCATCACCTCTTTACTGCAACCACCTGACTACAAAATCTTGGCCCTCTTGATACAATCCCTTGACTTTGCAAGGAAAACGTTTCCAAAGGCATGGCGGCAACCTGACTAAGAGACCAGGAGATTTCCCACGGTCAGGACACCCGATCTCAACTAAGCCAGACCTCAACAACCTAAAAACAAACCACAAGCAAATGCAGTTCTTCAGGGTGAACCCTCTGCCTGTGGTACCTAAAGATGTGAGGCACCATGCAGAGTCAGGACATGCTGTTTCGACTTGCTGGGAGCTCTGGCTCCTGGAGATGAAGGCTCAGAATCTCACGGCAATATTAGTGGGTGGTGGTTGATATGATAGTCCCGGCAGCTGCTTCGTGTCCCTGCTGGAAAAGGGGGGGGATTTGTGGAAGGGTGGGAAGACAGAGGTCCAGCAATGAGTGTGGCAGCCTCTGCCTAGCCCTCTGCTTTATACCTCCTCGTTTTGGCTTCCTGACGTGTGGAAGGGTGGGAAGACAGAGGTCCAGCAATGAGTGTGGCAGCCTCTGCCTAGCCCTCGGCTTTATCCCTCCTCGTTTTGGCTTCCTGACGTTTTGGGGAGGTCGGGGGGGGGATTTGGGGAAGTACATCGGCGGGGACGAGAGGCAAAGAAAGCATAGTCTGAACCTAGATGGGGGCTTCTGGCTGCAATCTAGGGGCAAGGGGGTCCTTCAGAGCAGCCGTGCGGGAATGGAGGAGGGAGGGGGATGTGCCCCTGCGGCAAGGGATAAATCATGAAGCCCAGGGTGTTGCATTTTAATGCAGGAAATGTTCCCTCTCTCCTTGTTTTCTGCATAGCCACAAAGCTCCCAGTCTGTGGCGAGGCAGCGCCAAGCTCCCAGCCCCCCCTAATAGAAGTTGCTTTGTGGAGGAATGTAACATTGACACGTTGTTAGGAGAGGATTTTCTTTAAGGGCAGCCAAGCCCCAGTGCTGTGGGAGAAGAAAAGCTGAACTTGCTCCAGCTGCCGCGGTGCCAGCGGCCGCGGGCAGGGCCGGGGGATGGGGGGGGAGGCAAAGGATGGAGGGACACTTTTGGTGTCCTGCAGGTCAGCGCCTCACCCAGCAGCTCGGAGCCCAGGGAAGGATCTTAAAGGATCTTAAATTACGACGAAGCTCCTCTCCTGTTAAAAAAAAACCCAAAAACCAACAACAAAAAAAAACAACCCCAAACCTCTCAGAGAAGCCCGTGCAGCGGCAGGGATGGTATTTAACATCGTTTAGAGCTAATTAGTACCCTGGGAGGTTGAGGCAGACCCGGCCGCGGAGCCCGGGGCGGGGGGGCAGCAGGCAGAGCCGGGGCCGGGCGAGAGCCGCCTCAGACCTCCGCGCAGAGCGCTGCCGGGGTGCGCACGGGGCTCGCCCCTCCCCT